GCGGACTTTCCCTAGTCTTTTCAAATGTAGCAACCCTTTAAACCTCAGCTCCCGCGTCATGATAGTTCACTGACCGGAGTGCATTCAAATCATGGTTATACAGAACTGAGAGGACAGTTGTGTGCTAATCCCAGAGGTGCTAATCCCGAAGTTTTCTCCATGGTCTACAATTGTACAGTATTATTGTGGAATTCACAGGAAAACCCTAACATCAAACCTGGCAAGTGGTCATATCTAGAATAAAATTTTCTAAATTTAACATATCGAAAAATATATGGAGACCAGATACTGATAAAAAACTCACCTGCTCCCGTATTTTCTCCAGAAAATACATCTCAATCAGTTCGGGCGTGCTGCTGATGTAAAGTTGAATCAGATAGTGCACATCCTGTACAGGGCGGGAGAAAAATTCGATAAAGGCGGTGATCGTTGACGAAAATTGCAAAATATTTCAATAACGAAACTGAAGACAACCGGATCAGTTGGGAGTTACGGCTTCCTTGGTTTCCTTTGGTGGTGGTGATGATGATGGTCAGTCTCGATAGAGGTGAAAAGAACGTGTTATAAACTATCAAACAAGAACAAAATTGTTTGACAAACGAAAGCTTACTAACTCAGTCGGTTTAGATAATGTTTAGATAATGCTCTTTGTATTAGTAATATCTATTGGACGATGGATAAGCGTCAACGGCGCAATTATTGTATTCCGATTCGCAAGAAGCCGATTTTATCCCATGCAGCTGAATGTCACAGGGTGTTTCCTGTAGAGGACAAGACAAAGTGAGAAAATCCCAAATAACTGACACCCTCGGTTGAGCAATCATTCACAATGTTTCCCTTGGAGATATTCTGTAAGCTCCATTGATGGATCGCAAACAGATAGACAAATTACTGTTTGCTTCGCTATTCGGCGAGTGATTGGGTTATTTGATCCGTATACCTCCAATTTTGTTTTGTGTGCCCGTTGTGTGGGTACAAGACCACAGAGTAAACGGTATCCGCTGGATGTCATGCGATAAAAGATTCTTAGATAAAACACTGATAGGCGTCTGATGATTGATGATTTTTGTACCTGTTTTCTAGCAATATTCTGAATGTGTAATTCTCTTGCGAAGAATAACTGTCCTAAGATAAAATGACAAGCCCCATGTGATTGAAGTGATCAAAGATCAATAAGATGATTGGGGTTCGAGCTTTAGCATGAATCCCACCCTCGATTCTGTATCAGTTAACATATGAGACCGTACCATCAGTTGTGCGAATCTTAGACTTCACCAGTCGAGGATAATGATATTTTTCTAAAGGCAATAAAATTTGTCTCAAAACTCTGACAACTTAACCTTAGACGTATACATCACAATTGGGCCCTAGAATAATAGAGTAGTGTAAATCCTCAGAGCTGTGAGTGCATGGCAGATTTTTGAATTGACCTAAGACACGTGCATTGTAGAAATAGCGCTAGATTAATCTGCTACTTTCAACATTCACATAAACATAGCAAGTCATTTACCGTCACCATATGAAGAGATTGCTGCTAAAGACTTTTAGGAAATCCAAAATCTCTACACTGCCTAAGTGTTCGAGTGAGTAGATTGAGTTAAACGGCTTTGAATTAGGCATCGGTTTATA